GGTAGATAAGTTAGCTAATTGGATAGAAGAGTAGCTGGATGAAAGAAAGCAGAGGATTGTTACAAATGGAGTTCAGTCAAAATGGATTAATGTCACAAGTGGGGCACCTCAGGGCTGTCTAAGGCCCTTTGCCCTTTTTGATTTACATCAATGCTTTTGGTGAGGGAATGTTCAAAAAATTCCTTACACTTGCAGATTATATTAAGGTCTTGGGTGTTGCTAGCTGTGAAGAGGATGCTGCTGATTTAAAAAAGGATTTAGATCATATTAAGTTGGGTAAATAAATGGCAAATGGGTTTTAATTATAATAAATGCAAGATAATGCATATAGGTTATCATAATTTGAGGTACAAGTTTAATAGGGATGGGAATAACCTTAACAGTACCATATACTGGTACATCATTTAAATGTCCTATAAATGTAAAAAGACTGTAAAGGGAGTTCAAATTGACACAAGTTTGTAATAACTTACATTTCCAATGTTTGATCCCTATTTAATAAACACTCATATTTACAAGTTAGGCTATCAGTTGCCAAGACATGACTGAGATGGTTGGCATTGGAAGTTTCTTTTACATAATTCTATATTACACAAAAAACACTGCAAAACTGATGAATGGTTTACCTTGAAAGCAATGAAAACATTAAATTGCAGAAAAAGTCAGAGTGTGTATTTTATCTACAACTAAAATGTAAAACTAGTACAAAATTGAAAACTGGGGCAAATTTTCTTTGAACAAGATAGGTATGACCACCCCTATTCCTCACTGGGTTAAGCAGCTATCTTGGCTCTTATGATTTGTTGTTAGCTCTTAAATGTGAGATATTTTGCAATCCTTAAGGAGAGCATAAAACATGCTAGAATACAAGAAGAAGAAAAAAAGTTACATATACATGGTCAGCTCACTAAGGTCCTTAATCAACCTTTTAAACATTGATTACTATTGCTGACTTATGGGTTATTACTATTAATTAACGAAATCCACTGACACTTAGAAATCTTAATTTTTTAATGGTATTATATTTTTACATTTCATTAATACAGAATGTTAAATCAAAAAATCTGCATTTTAGTACAACTGTTAATCTCTTGCCATAAAGAGTTTCATAAATCACTCAGTTTTGTCACATGTAACTAAATCATTGCTAAGATTAGTCAGCATTCACAATAACTTTGTTCTTCACTATTACATGAATTTAGTTATAGGTAATAAATAGGGCTATTCTTTATGAAACATTTTACAATTATTACTATTAGTCATAACACAGCAATACACTGTACATCTAACTTCATTTACAGTCTAGTATAAATTGAATATACAATATTTAGAAACAATTGTCCCAACACTACAACATTTTCTTCTTTTAACATTATACATGTGCAACAACTCTAACCAACATCAAATCTATTAGATTACTATTGTATGAACATTTATGTAATGTAACCTTCAATTTAAATATTTCAACAAAACCAAAATCTTACCTAACAATAAAAACTATTAAATCAACTAAAAGAAAGTCAAATAACATTCCTATATTTGAAACATATCCAAACTGTGACTAAGAAGTAATATTACTCATTAGTAACAGAACATGTTATATATTAACCCTTTCAAGATGGGTCACAGGTGAAAGGCTATGTCATCACGTTTGACTTGCATTCAAAATTTTATTGAACTATACATTACTCAATTTCTTAATTTAAAAGTAAATATTAAAAAAAAACACCGATAAACATCGATTTTTATGTGTAACATGGTATGTTGAATGCAGCACTGGTTCAAATTAGATGTTTGTGAAGTCAAAATATTAAGTCTATAGTTTTGTATGAATTATAAACTCAAATTACCAATATTTGCAAGCTTGAATATAAAATAAGGTCTTATCTTTTCTATTCGCTAAGATATTGCTTATGTAATACATCAAACAGTGGCACCCCACTCCCACCTCTTTTCATTTTTGGAAACTCTCCATTATGTACAAATATGATGAACACATCTATTCATTAATATTAGTAAGCCTAACATGTAAAATTTCTGTTAGGTTTCAAAACAGTTAATATCAAAGAACTAAATATGTCTAAGTTTGTGACTAACAATAATATTAACGTTCATATTTATTACTAGTAATCAGTCTGCACAGTAACATTAATAAAATTAATCACTATAGTATTACAGAGTATTAGTGAAACTACAGTATTGCCATTGAAGTTTACATTTAGCTTTAAATTCAATCTTGTCATTTCACACCTCGAGTTTTATGCATTGCTACTTAAATAACATAAGCTTCATTATTTGATATTGTCAGCATTCATTTATTGTATTCCTGAATTTTATTATACTGCTTAATAATAATAGCAATAATATACAATTTCAGAACTGAACTTAATAACATAAGCTTCATTATTTGATAATGTCAGCATTCATTTATTGTATTCCTGAATTTTATTATACTGCTTAATAATAATAGTAATAATATACAATTTCAGAACTGAACTTAATATTTATTTTGCACAGTTACATTTAGTCTTGCACAAGTTGCAGTGCAACTTACCAGGGACAGTGTAGATATGCAAGCTCTAGGGTTAGGCTTAAGATTTTATCTATACAAACAGCTAGTATGGTGTAGATCTAGTTAGTAATAATAAATACATAATATTAAAATGAAGAAACAAAAGAAAAATATATTACCTCTTCCATTAGTTTAGTATTACATTACGACTAACTTATAAATTAACACCTTACAAAACCACTAAACACTACGTGTAGCGGTAGACGTACAGAACTACGCATATGTAAGAGTAATGCGCGTTTGCCCTCTAGTGTTTAGTAAACAATAATTAAATTTATAAAGTGCAAAGCATAAAACAAAAATATTTAATATATGCGTGTATGTATGATTTGTTAAACTGATTTTTTATTAATTTTATAAAAGAACAAACATTTTACTTACTAAAAATTGGATAATGTGAATGATGACTGATGTACTTGGACTTGTATGGTTCTATCATTAGTCAAAAGTTGAGGATTTAAGAGTGGAGAATACCCCTAAGGATGTTCAGGGACTGAAGTAATCTTTATCCACTCTAGAAGCTTATGTGAAGGAACTGTAATTGGAATTGAAATTACTTAAGAGGCAGGAGTAGGGTTAGAAATGGAAAGGATAGTTTTTGATATCAAGGGGCGCCGTTCAATGCCGAGACAGTGCCGGAAAGCAATTTGCGAAAGATGAACCAGTAGATAGTTACGTGCTAACTATCTTATTCCAGTTGTAGACCTTCGTATGGTAAGGCTCGTTTTTTTCTTCTGACTTTTGAGACTATCGTATTTACTTAGATGGGGTTGGTCTTTTTCTGTGTTTGAGGTATTTGATGACATTCCCTCTCTAGGCCGTGGATAGTAACTTTCGTGGGCAATACAACTGTAACAGACGAAACAAAACGTCACTACTACCAGGGTAAAACAAAAAACAATTCACTAAAATGTCAATTTTATTAATATCAATAAATATCAAATTAATTAGGGGAAAAAACGTAATTCACCAGAGAATAACATAAATTTTCCAAAATTAAACCACTTCTCAATATCAAGAACAATATTGTTACGTCTCCGTTT